CATTGCTTTTGAAATAGAGAAGACGGAGAATTTGTAATCCAAACTTGCTTGGCAAGTGTCTATTTCATATAGTTTTGTTTAGTGCGTCTGTTTTTTTCTGCATTCTCACATTATATGCTTAATAGCGAACTTTCAGATTGATCAGCATCTTTGCAGAATTCATTTTGTAATAGAAAAAGGAGATCTAAATTTTGGGCAAATTTTTTTAACCATTTTTGGATAATCACTATTTTCTATATAAACTTATAATCTTTAGCTTTTATATTATAATTTAAGTTAAATTATACTTTATTATAAATTTTATAATTATTAAAATTATTAAAATATATTTTTTTATTATTAGATTTGAAAATTTATAAATGTAATTTTTAAGTTACTTTAATATTAGAAAATGGAAATACTTAAATGAATCATCTTTTGTTTAAGATGTGACATAATAAATGAAAATCTTATATAACCAAAAAGTTTTCATTTTAATTTTTTATGCATTACTTTAATGATAAATCCTTTTTTATAATAGCTTTTTTATCTTAATCTTTTATATAAAATATAAAACAATTTTGCTTACAACTTTATTTATTAATTAATAACATATTAAAAATTATTTATTAAAAAATAATATTTTTATAATTATAATTAATTAATAACTTTTTATATTAATTTAATTAAAAAATTTTAAATTTTTTTTGTAAAAGTATTTTGTTATAAAGGTTAAAATTTATTATTTTATTTATTATAAAATTAATAATATATTTTAAAAAAATTATAATTTAATATATTTATTTAAAATTTTTTTAAAATTTTTAAAATATTAATTTAAATATTAAATATAATTTAAATTTAATTAACCTATAATTTAATTTATTAAAATCTAAATTTATTAATATCAGATATTTAATGAATCTGATAAAAACCTTTATTTTTTTTCAAATTTAACTAATGTATTTTAGAAACTTTATGTAATTTTTATTTATTAAAACACTAAATTGAAGGTCTAGTTGAAACCTTAAAATCTTACATCACAGATAAGATTTTTGTTAGTTAATTTTTTTAAAAAATAACTTTTGATAGAACAATCTAAAATCTTAAAATATTAAACTGATTAAAAATAAGTTTATTTATATAAATTTATTAGTAATGTTAACATGTAGTTTTTGTAAACTACGACTGTTAGACGGGGTATTCAAGTAGTTTATTCTTTTTAATTGAGAAGTAATCTTTCAACGATTAACAAGTTTTATCCTAAATTGATTCTCAAAAGTGTTTGTATTATTACGATGAGTAGTATTTCAACAGATTGCCAATGATTTATAGTTGTAAAATAATGTGTTTATTCACGAGTAAAATAATAAAAGTAAAAGAAAAGAAATAAAAGAAAATAAAAAATAAAATAGAAAAGAAAGAAACGAATTACTGAAACAAAAATGTAATGCAGTAGGCCAGTTGCCTCTAGACTACTAAAATTAACTTGTCGAGTTCCTATCTATCTATCTTTTTACATAAACTAAAAAGCCATCTATTTATATAAAATAAATTACATATAAAGATATAAATAACATGTCTACTATGTCAACTATGTCTAATATATCAATTATGTCTAATATATTAACTATTTCTAATATGTCAGTTATACCACATATGTCTGATATATTACATATATCACTTATGTCAAATTAGTCGATTTTTTGCATCACATAAGCTGCATTACATTTACCTATTCACAGTAATTTCTATTTATTATATTTTTTTTAAAAAAAATTATACTATTTATTGTACTGGTCAAAATCAAAAAAATCAGACATATGAAAAATTAGCCTAAATTCAGCCTAAATTCAGCAAATTATCAAAAAATCGGCTTAGCCAATTGGCATACACTAGAAATCAGCTAAGAATCAGCTAAAATTTGACCTATCTTATTTATAGCTGATTGACATCTGATTTACATTTGATTGATATACATCAAAAATTGGCTAAAATTTGACCCATCTTATTTATAGCCGATTGACGTCTGATTTACATCTGATTGATATATATCACAAATCGGCTAAAATTCAACCTATCTTATTTATAGCCAACTAGCATACTTATTGTCAATTAGCATATATCAAAAATCAGCTAAAATTTGACTTATCTTATTTATAGCCAATTAGTATACGTTAAAAATTGGCTAAAATTTGATCTATCTTATTTATAACCGATTGATGTCTGATTTATATCTAATTGATATATATCAAAAATAGACTAAAATATTTCAAAATAAAATAAAAATCAGAAGGAAATATAACTGATATTTAGGATTAACAGCCAAATAATACTAAAAACATCTAATTTATTTTTACAAATGGTATTTTCTATTAATTGAATTAACAGCCAAATATTCTTTTGCATTTCGTCAGGCTGAAATTTAATAGTTAATCAATATAAATTGACCCAAAATATGATGAACTGGTATTATACAATTATGACTTTTCAGATAAAATTTAGTATTTCATAATTCAATATTACAAGTTTCTTCTTCGCTAAAATAATACTGTATATTTGGAGAACTTGCAGGTTTATATTAATGAACAAATGCTAGAAAATGTTCAGCCTTTCTAGATGATAAATCGATCTTATGTGTAAAATAATATTGGACTTGATTAGGATAACAATCCACAGGTTGAATAATGGTATACCAGAAAAGAATCATAAGCCCGATTCTTCAATGATTCTTTATTGATCTAACATTAGCATTACCCCAATACTTACTACTGACTGGACACAGATTCTTGTTGCATTTCTGGATAAAGCTAGTAAATAATATGGTATAAATACTTCATAAATATCAAGTATAATTATTAAAGAATCAGATTCTTGATTTTATACAAATAAATACCCGAAATTTATTTGATTAATAGCCAAATATTTTGAAGTTTATTGAAGTATAGGTTGTAAATAGATCAAATGCCAAATCAATATCAGAATTCTGATAGTTCTCTTATCTTTACATAAAACTTTAATTATTTATTTGAACTATTATAAAAATACTGTTAAACAATATTATATATATTGAATAGTAATTGGCAATATATCATAGACATCTTATTTACATCTAATAATTTTGTTACTGCAAATAATAAATGTATCTGATATTATTGTTTTATTTAATTTATTATAATATTTGTTGTAAACACAGCAATAAAACTAGTTAACTATATATGTTGTTACATGCTTTTATAAATCTATATAATACTTTTACGATACAATTAGTAAATGAAACAAAATGAAATATGATTAGCTAAATAAAAATATATTATCCTTATCCCTATTAATATCTTCATTTGGCTATTGATCATTATTGTCATCAGAATGATACGACTGTGATATTGACCAATTGGATGCTTCTTCTGGCAGTTTCAATTTATCAAATCATATTTCATCTTGGTATTAGCGATAACGTATAATTTTATATGGCTGATATTCTCACCAACTTGATCAGCCAAATAAAGTAAATCACGTACCTATTAAAATAAAAAAAAGAAATAGTAAATAAATATATAATATATATTATTTTATTTAATATTTAAATACTTACACGACGTAATCTCTAAGGTTTATCATAAATACAAAGAACGTGTTTATCTGTTTCATTTTTATTTTTAGGCTGAATATGTCCTTTGATTTCTTTTTTTGTTAGTTTCTTGTTAGTTTCAGAAATTTCGTCACTATGAAATTCACCTTCATTCATCAAGATTTCACAATTCTCCTTAAATTCGTTCCAAGTTAGAGACGTCAGTTAAAGATCTTTAAGTGTAGAATCGTTGATGTTGAATATATGAACGATGCCTTTTTGATGTTCTTTTTTTTATTGTCAATAAAAATTAAGGATTATTTAACGATCAATATTACAAGATCTCTTGATACTTATATCCATTCTTTGAGAATTCATTCCTTTCCTTCTCCTCTCTGACTTAACTTTATATAAGTCAAAACTAGTCTTCCAAGATTCTCTACATGACGATGTAGACTTTGTAAAATCCATTTCAATTCTACATCTTTATATCAAAATCTTCCAGTTAAAGTTTTATCAATTTCCTTCATTATGTGTTTTAAAATATGACGTATAATTTCTGTCTATTTTTTAATGTGATCCAGTTGCAATGAATCATTAAGGCCATTAATAATTTGTACTATTTCATCCTTAATTCGATAAAATAAAAAAAAAATAAAACAGTTAATAAATTTTAAAACAATTGATATTTATTTGACGCTTACACAAAATAACTTGTATTGATCTTTATCTATATCATCAAGTATAATCTGATGTCGATGATACCCAGTTTTTAGTTTTGGTGTAAGTGAGGCATCTCTTTGTATTTGATCCTTTGGAGCTAAGGCTGATGACTTGTGAGGAGTTGATGATTCATTTCTTAATTGAGATTCCTTAAGGCTGCGAATTTCTTCTGTTAGTGTACTGACAGCTCAGCTTAAAATTTTGATATCTGTAAATTCAAATTATGTGATCAAGAAACTTATTAGATAGTTTTAAATTATCATATTAAATTAACAATTACCATTATTTCTATTATATCTTATAGACGAACGTTCCTCTGAGTACTTGGTGAACGGCTGTAACTTGATGATGAATGTCTATCTGAATAAATGAAATACATAAAACTACTCCTCTTTGATGAACAGAAATGACGATGGCTTCTTTGATAATGATGATGTGATGACATTAAGTTTGTACGATAGTTTATATGTTAATAGTTGTGAGAAGGTGAATTAACAGTTAATCTCCTTGAACCTATTTTTTTGATTTTGAAAAGTTTTCGTCTATGTATATTTACCAAAAATTGAATATAATTATAGATAAAGAAATTAAAGAAATAAAATTATCCAAAAAAAGGTTTCTAATTTTTTTTTAAAAAAAAAACAAAGGGTAAAAATCATTAATTATTTCTTTTTATACCTTCATTTACTTTTGAAAATATATAATATTTTAATTTATTTTTCTTTTTTGCAATAATAAATAGTAATGAGTCAAATGTCAGAAAGAAAAATTCAGATTGTAGAAAGAAAAGGATCGTGTTCTGATGCCTTTATATATATTTTTTATGTTATGTAAGATGAAATAGTATAGAGTATAAGAAATCAGATGATTATATCATTTTAATTGTTAAGATGTTTAAGTTTAAATCATAATAATAGTCTATTACGAACAATGGATCAATGATGATAATTATATATATATAAACAATACGCTCTAAAATTTTTTTTTATAAAAATAATTTTGTATTCAAATTTATAGTACCAAGAACTTATCGAAAAACTAAAGAATCATTTGTAAAAAAAATCTAATAAACCTAAACAATATATATCAAAGAAAGTTTCGTGTTATTGTAATAAATGCAAAGGTTGCATGGTTGATCTATGTACAGAAAAAAAACACAATTCAAAAAAGGATATTAGACTAAGAGGAATTATCGAAGATACATAATCTATAGATTTAAATCAAGGTTTGCTAAATCAAGGTTCACCAGTAGTTCTTTCAGATAATTCGATTGATGTTGACACATCAGATAGTAGTGATTATCATGAAACTGAACGTATCCTTAGTGAAAAAAATTACTCATTTCTTCCTAAAAAATCACCAAAAGGCAAATCAAGAAATAAACAAAAAAATATTGGTAGCAAGAATGTAGTATACCCTATTGAACAAAATATTTCCGATGATGACAGTGATAATGATGATGATAATAATAATGATAATGATGATGATGATGATGATTTTATTAAAGAAATGCTAAATAAATATGAATCTTCATTCATAAAGTTCGATGCGTCAGAGAATGTATATGGTGATAATCTAAAAGTATCTATTCCTGATTTTAGCGAAGGTTTTAATTGGATTGTTTTATGGATTTTATTGTATCAAGAGAGGTTTCGATTATCTGACATGACTACTGACACTTTGGTCAAATTCATTAGATATCTCCTAGTTAACCTAATCGCAAATACTTATAATTCTTTTCTAACATCACTATATATGACACGTAAAAGTCTTAGTGTTTGCGCTCACATTATAAAATATGCAGTATGTGAAAAATGCTGCAAACTATATAATGTATCAGAAGTATCAACTGATGAATATAGCCAAGTTCTAACTGCCAGTCAGTGTACTTATGTAGATTTTCCAAATCATCCAATGGCAAACCAAAGGGTACAATATAGTGTTAAATTTGCTAAGAAAATTCCTATTACAAATGGAATAGTATATTATCCCTTCATGGTATTTCTAATAGTTAGTTTAAAGCATCAATTGCAATTAATGTATAATCAGAAAGGGTTTAAAGAGTCGTGTAGGAAATAAGCAGATCGATATAATAACACTAAATATTTAAACGATATCTATGACGAAAGAATCTGGAAAACCTTTTAAGACCCAAATAAAGATTTACCATTCTTCCAGAAAGAAATATCGGATTGTTACTTAGATATTATGTTAAACCTTAATTAGTTTCAACCATTCAATCATGCAAGTTATAGTATAGAAACTTTATACAGCATGATTTATAACCTCCCTCAAAATGAGAGGTTTAATCCATCAAATATATTAACGATGGCTCTAATTCTAGATCTAAACAAGCCAAGCCTACACAATTTAAACTATTATTTATCTCTAGTAATCGACCAATTAATTGAATTTTAGGAAGAGGTTAAGTTATCAGCAACATACGAAAGCTCTAATGGTATATCTATTCAAGCTACAGTAATATACTGTTCTTATGACATTCCAGCTGCGAGAAAATTATATGACCATATATCAGCATGTGTAGCTTATTATAGATGTATAAAAATGGCTCAATATGATGATCATGGTCAACTGAATTTTAGTGGATTTTATAATATTAATGAATGGTTTGTTGAAAGAGATATTGATCAGGTCCAAAAGAATGTATGGGAATAGTTAGATTATAATACTAAAGATGCTAAAAATAGTTATGTTTATAATACTTTAGTACGTTAGTCTGAAGTATACCATCTTTCATATTTTGATTCTATGCGATTTCTTATAGTAGATCCTATGCATTATTTGTTCTTAGGAATTGCTAAATGGATAGTAACATGATTGTAAATTGAAGAAGGTCAATTAACACAAAAGGATCTAGAAACAATGCAGAAGAGAGTAAATTTAATAAAGGTTCCATCAGATATCGGCAGAATTCTATTCAAAATTGCTATGGGAGAAGGGTTCTCAGATTTTATTATGGATTAGTGGAAGACCTTTGTCTTGATTTACGCTACTTTCATAACATGGGATCTACTTCAAGAATCGAATAGAATAATCCTTACCAATTTTGTTCGTGCATGCAATATCCTTATATGCAGATTTATATCCAAGGATGGGTTGGAAGAAGCTCATAAACGTCTTCTAACAATAGTAAAACTTATAGAAGATAATTATGGCACAGAAAAAATTACGCTGAATCTACATTTATGCTTACATATTTGCCATTGTGCATTAGACTATAGATCATTATATGCATTTAGTATTTTAGTTATAAATGAATGAATAGCCTATTGGGTAATTCTGATATTCTTTTTATTAAATTAAATTTATTAATTAAATTTTATTAAGTTATTTTATTATTATAGGTTCATATCATAGCAGTAATAGAAGAATTGAACCAAAATTACTGAAAATCATTCAATATAACTCCTTTATTGATCAAATTTCTTCATATACTTAAGGCAACCAATATTTATCAGCTTGTTTACCTTTAATAGCACTAAAAGAAACTACTGGTAGTCTTGTAGTTTAAGATGAATTCAATGAAATGGATTACTGGGATTTTTATTAATATTTAGAGATGTGGAAGAATTAGCTGGAATAGATTCAAAATCCTTTTCGGACACTTTTCTTAATCCTAAAAATACAAACATAAACCTTTTGAAAGAAATATTAGATTTATTAGTTGAGTATTACTGCAATGCTTATGATAGAGATTTTGCAACGCTATCAGATATCCATATCACTTCACCTAATGCTATACCAGTACTTCTGAGGGTAAATATTTATGGACAGTTGCAATTTGACTCTGAAGTTTTTAGATCATTATATTCTAAAAGACACGTTAAATCAGCTAAAATCTTATTCCAATTTCTCCATAATAATACTAAAGACCTTTATCCTGAAATTGTTCAATTTTATTTTGAACACATTATGCATCTTTCAGAAGGATCCAAAAAATATTTGTTAGTATTTGTAAAGTGGTATCTTCTGGCAAAAAATTAAAAAACCAGATTTCACTATATGGTTGATGGCGATGATAAATTATGCAATATGGAACTATAAAAAAAAGAATTTTACGATCTTAGTAGAAATTGTATTATTCCTATATATAATATATTTAGCTGGTTTGTTAAAAGTTCTTTTTCAATAGATCAAAAACAACCTCGTAAATATATGTCAGTGATTTCATTTAATAGAAAGTTTCACATTTAAGATTCATGATATATGCAATTAGTATATAGGTATAGACAGAATTAAACATAAGTTTATTTTTAACGGAGTCTGTAAATAATAAATTTAATAAATTTAATAAATTTGTTATGATTATTAAAACTATTAACAAATTACAATATATGAATGCGTCTTATGTTTCTTATCATTTAATATTAATAGCCCTATCGGATATTATTAATCAAGATATCAAATTTTTGATGTTTTACCTATACTTTTTAATAGATTAATGATATACCATTATAAATTGAAAATTTATTTATTGTTTATCAGAAAACCAGAAGGTATTTAACTTAATACATATTATTCACCTATCAAATTTGATGTATATTATAAACGATCAGCATCTTATATAATAGAATCAATAGACCTATTGGAATTATAATTATCAATTGATAAAAAAAATACCAGCCAGTTAAAAATTGGAACCTGATTTAGTTCTGATTCTTAACTAGCTAGAAATATTCTGATTCTTCATTATTTAACCTGTGAATTGACTGTATTATCATTTGTAATAAATTTGGTTAAAATGTACGAATTTTTTACATATTGTAAAGATATTAATGATCCAAAGATTTCAGAACCAATTTGATACCTTTCGAATTGAATTATTTTGACCTGAATTGTTATACTATCTTCTGAATCCTTATCGAATGTTTTCCTAAAATCAAACGTGATATAAGTCGCATTATGGTATTCAACCATCAAATCAAGCATTTCACTTGAAATAATTATATTATCAGATGATAGTTTAAGGAATTCACCAGAAAATAGTTTACTACTAGTAATATTTGATTCCTTAATATTTTGTGAATTCATTTAAAATCGATGGATTTCGTCAGAAGAAAATTCGTCTGTATCTGAAAGGGAACCAATTGAAGGCTGATTGTCTAGCAATTCAAGCCCTTTTATCTCAATACCACTGGAACTTATAATACTGTCAATTTGAATATCAAATATCAATTGATGCATTAGCTCAGGTTCAATTTTTCTATTACTATTCAATAAAGAATCTAAAAATCGTTCATAAATTAGTAAGCTGATTTATTCGAGAAATTCCCAAAAAAATACCTAATATTTCATTTATGCATTCAAAAGAAAAACACTAAAACACATATAACAGACCATAGTCTCTTGAGCAATCATACAAATGGAGAGAAAGGTAAAGATTTGGCGTGATTTTGTTGTACCTGTAATTATTTTCAATCAACTTTACCATCTCAATTAGTCTTTGATATGCTTCATATAATAAATCTGATTCTACAATCTGGCTTACTAAAATTGTATAATCTTTACAAAATGTGTAAGAATCTTTTTATCTACAATTGAAAGATGTTCTCAAAGTGAAATAATAACATATATAGTGAAAAATATTCATCACTAAACAGCTGTAAAATTAGAAAATCCTTCTTCTTCATAAATTTTACCTAGAATTTGATCTAGATCAGAAGGAATCTGAAACCCATTCATCTTTTTCTAAATCTTATTCAAGGAATTTGATATTCAAATTCCTTTATCGATCCAGATTCATTTTACTATCCATCGTGCAATGCCTAAAAATAGGCAATACATTAGATCAATTGTGATATATTTTATAGGGTCAAAATATGGCAAACGTAATAATTCAGACCATCTTACGTTACTTTGCTTTACAAATCATTTTTGTGAAGCATCTGAATTACAGCGTCTCCATTCTAATGCATTTTGATGATGCTCAATTAGATCTTACATAATGAACCAATCATCAATATTATTCATTCTGGCAAAATTATGCTGATGATTTTTATAATTTGCCTTCTTTTCGCATCTATGACATGATACTAAGACTGAAAAATGTTCACATATTTTTCTAGTGGCTGATATATCACATGAAATAAGAATTAAAGCTGCACTAATATTCTTTCCTTCAGAATGTTCATATGTTTTATCTATTGTAAATCCATCCTAAAGTGATTCTAATTCATCTACAATTGGCATTAAATAGTGATTTATTTTATGTAAACTGACTTTGCTTGGTTTGGGTAAAGACTAAGAGTCAGTAAATTTTCACGTTTAAATCAGATATCATAAGGCAAATTGCATATAGCGGCATATACAGTGGCTACCAAAAGAAACGCAAGTGTGATTGGTTACCTTTGAACGGCTATAACTCATCAACCACAAATGC